GGCGGCCGCCCGCCGAGCCCCCGGCCCGGGCAGGGATAACGGTGCACTTCGCCTGGCTGGGACGCCCTGTCAGCTCCACGGTCCCCGCCACGCGAGGACCAGGCACCGTCACGGGGCAGACACTCGGAGCGTCGGCCCTCCTCGGCGCCCCTCAGTCACCCCTCCGCTACGCCCAAGTTCTGACCCCTGGGGAGGTTTCTCCCGGGGCAGACAAGTCTTCCTCCTCCAGAGTTGGGGTCCTCAGGGGGGTGACCAGGCCTGTTGATCAGGGTTGAATTTCCCTCTCTGCGGGGACTCTTCCTGCCAACCTAGGGTCTAGGGGGGAAAGGCTTCGTGTGACCCGGGGGGAGGACAGGGGAGCGTCTGCTGGACAGATGGCCTCCTGGCCCTGGCTCAGCTTTTGTGAGGGGGAGGGGTCCGTATGACCTTAGGTATGCTCGCTCTTGAGAACCGCGGGATTATTGAAGGTGGTTAGGGATTTTTAACTATTTTTATGAGCAGGCCAGAGGTGACATTAAAAGTCCAGGGTTGGAATAAACCCATAGGCCCACCCAGGGAGCAGGTTTTGTATCCAGGACTAGCCTAGATAGTTCATTCATGAGGAGGAGAGTGGGAATTGGGTGGGTAAATGGTTTTTGGACCAGGGTTTGCCTGCTTACCCCCAGGTCTGTGTTCGTGTAGGGGCTAGAGGGTGCTTGTGTCAGGTGTACACTGGCTGAGCACACAGTGTGCTCGGCCTGATGGGTGCTCAGTGGGATTTCAGACTTCTGTTTGCTAAACTAACAGGTACATACCGTGAAAGAGAAGGGGAATCCTGGTGCTGATGCTTTTTTTTTTTTCTTTTTTCTTTTTTTTTCATTTTCTTCTATTCCACTGACGATTGCTTGGTTCATTTAGCAATTACTCCTCCCCCACCCCCCTTTTTTAGACAGGTTGGCCACCAAACTCAGGTCTTAACCTCCCCAGTAGTTGGGGCTTCAGGCAACCATGCCTGATTGTAAATAAATAAATAAATTAAAAAAAAAAATTCTGAGCACTTGTAGTATGGGCCATGACCGAACTAGGTTTTGGAGATACTGTGTCATCCAGAAAGACACTACTATAAGTGTTGGAGACCTTAGCCTCGAGACAAAGTCCAGTAATTAAAGAAAATATTTGTCAATAAATATATGCTTTCGATGTGGTGAACAAAGCAATGAAAAATAACTACCCTTGTAGAGTTTCCGTCTAGTGTGTGGGAAGACCGTAAGTAGTGTCTAATAGAAGAGGTGCAGTATGTTACAAAGCACTAAATACTAAAGGGAAAAAGAGGAGAGGGAAGGAGAATCGGAGGTAAGGGGTTGGTGTTTTTTGTTTTATTCTTTGTATATATATTTTAACTATGTCTCCCTGACTGGCCTGTCTAGGTCTTTCTGCTTTAGCCTCTTGAATGCTGGGACACCTAGACACCAGCACTCCTGGGCTTTGGGAGTATTTAATTAACATTACAATGGCAGGGGACTTATAAGAAGGTATCTAGGAGGTCTCTCTGTCTCTGTCTCTCTCTCTCTCTCTCTCTGTGTGTGTGTGTGTGTGTGTGTGTGTGTGTGTGTGTTTGGGTTTGTTTTTGCAGTGGGGGGAATCAACTCTAGGTCCTCACTCTGCCTTTGAGCTCTACCTGGCCCAGATGAATCTTTGGAACAAAACTCTGAAGGAAATGGCTATATGAAAGTTATACGCTCTGGTGAGTTCAAGGGGGGAAAAGATGAGGAAAGAGAATGATTTAAGTTGGGGGCTCAGGGAAGGCTTCCTGGAGGAAGTACCACTGCTAACTCATAAAGAAGGCTTAAGAGTTAACCATTTGTGGAACAGCACTCAGCTTGGCAACTTGGAGGAAGTGAAAGAGGTTCATGGGGCTAGAGGAAGAAAGAAAGGGGAGAGGGGAGATAAAAGTCTGTGGCCCTGGCCTGGGTTGTAGGGACGCCTACCCTCTTTTAGGTTGGATTGTAATTTAGGGTAATTAGGAGTATTTGCATTTTATAAGGCCTCTGGCCTGGGTTCTGTTCTGACTTTGAGATAATGCTAGGATTTCTCTGTTGAAAAGATCTTAAGTTTGTGGAACCTCCTTTCCTGTAAGTTCTTTACTCAGGTTTATCAAGGGAAAACGAAGTAGAATTCTGAGTGTCTGCTAGGTGGGAGGACCCATCTGAATGATTTTTGTGTACATTATCTTACTACTCTGTACACACTAGAAGACAAGGTTTTCATGTCCCTGGGTGAGGTGATGTGTCTACAGTGATGATTGTAACAGCTGGATTGAAACCTGGCCTGCCTTATTCCAGCACTTACTGGCTTTGGAGTAAGACTATAGGACTTTAATTTTACTCCTGACACTTGTTCACATAGATGTTAAATTATTTAACCCTGCTTATGCCTCAGTTTCCTCATCTTCAATGCAAGTATCTATTTCATAAAGTTATGCAGATAAAATTGAGCCACATAGCCGGGTGGTGGTGGCGCATGCCTTTAATGCCAGCACTTGGGAGTCAGAGGCAGGAGGGTCTCTGTGAGTTTGAGACCATCCTGGTCTACAAGAGCTAGTTCCAGGACAACCTCCAAAGCCACAAAAAAAAAAAAAAAAAAAAAAAAAAAAAAAAAAAAAAAAATTGAGCCACATAAAGTTTAGCAGTTTGTTCAGTTGATTCAATAATATTAGTTTCCAGCCGGGCGTTGGTGGTGCACGCCTTTAATCCCAACACTTGGGAGGCAGAGGCAGGCGGATCTCTGTAAATTCGAAGCCAGCCTGGTCTCCAGAGCGAGTGCCAGGATAGGCTTCAAATCTACACAGAGAAACCCTGTCTTCAAAAACAAAAAAAACAAACAAAAAAAAAATAGTTTCCATAACTAAAAAAAAAAAAATCCTGTTGCTTCTTAGCTATATTGTGACTATTTTAGTTAAGACTAAATAGATAACTCAGGTAGGGTTTTTTGTTTGTTTTTGTTTTTTATTTGTTTCAAGTCAGGGTTTCTCTGTAGCCCTGGCTGTCTTGGAACTCTCTGTAGACCAGGCTGACCAGGCTGACCAGCTCAGAGATCCACCTACCTCTGCTGGGGTTAGAGGTGTGTGCCCACTACCACCACCTGGTGATAATTCAGTTCTTTAATTTTGTGTAACTGTCTCCTTTCCCTCTTCTTTCCTCTTAATAACTTAATGCCAACGTTGTTTCCATGTGATCAATCATTCAGCATTGATATTTCATGCTTTGACACTATGCTAGAATTTAAAAAAAGCGAGAAGTTAGGTATCATTTTCTTTTCAGTAGACTATATAGGAAAAGTCAATTATTGTAATAAATGGATTATAATCACGATTTAAATTCTCTAATATAGTGGTGGTTAAAGGGCTACTGGGGGCAGGTTGTGGTGTCCCAGTCCTGTAATCCTAGAGGAAGGAAGAAGATAAGGAAGGGGCTCAGCTTGTAGTGTTTGAAGCCAGTCCGTGAGGTGTGAGTTCCTAAAAATGCCTGGGGGAGGGGAGGGAAGGCTTCAGGGAGGAGGTGACTGCTGAACTGAACTTTGAAGGACGGAAGAGGAGTTTTGCAGGTTAGTGAGAATGTGAAGGACATTCTACATAGAGTGCCCTGAACATGAAATGCAACTATTAGAGACCTCATTGTGTGTAGATGAGTTTGGAAAACAGGGCTATCTGAGAGACAGGTCAAGAAGTTTGTGTTTTATGCTGTAAGCCATGGTGAAGTGCCAGAGAGCATTAGATACAACTCTTGCATTCCCTGTGGCTAGAGAGCAATGGTCGCTGTCAGTCTTGAGCAGCTTTGTCTCTGTGGGGACCCTGGGCTTCAGTATCAATTCCTAGATTTGGAGACCAAAACTTGAGTTTAGTAAGGTTTTCAGCTGATTCAGGGAGACTGACTCATTAAGTAAACTCGGAGGAGACTGATGAGTAAACCTAAACTATTAATTGACTGTAAGAATGGAACAGTAGAATGACAGATGTTTTTATCCTCTGACCATTGTCCCCACCTCTCTTCCCCTTTCTGGCTAACGCTAGGCAACTTACAAACTCTCTCGGTTCCCATTTGGACACGAACATTTTCTCTGCTCTATTTAGTCTTAATTCAATCACTGTTCTGTATAGTTGATGATGATTATTGATAGAGCTGATGGAGCTGTGTTATTCGGGTAGGATCCTGTGCTTGTGAAATTTAGATAAAAGAGGAAGAATAACTTTAAAAAATATGGACAACTTCAGGGTTAGTCTGGCCAACATGAGACCTTTTCTTACTCAAAAAAGAAAAATTAAGTAAATTTTAGAAAGAAAGGAAATTTGATGAGAGAGGTTCTTTAGAACTAAGCTAGCCGAGAAAGTACATGGAGATTCTGTGTTGTAGCAGTAGTCTTAGGCTAAGGAGTAGTATGGTTATATGCACTGGAATTGTTCAGGGTGTAACACAGACTGTAGATGATTTTTTTCCTTTAAAACTCTAAAACTTGGGGCTTTGGTGGAGATGGCTCAGTAGTTAAGAGCACTTACTGTTCTTGTAGAGGACCTGAGTTGGGTTTCCATATCCATACCAGGAGGCTCACCACACCTGTAATTCCAGCTTCAGCAGATCTGACTGATGCTGTCTTCTGGTCTTTGTGGGCACCTGAACTCATGTGCACATACCCACACTTAGACACATGAAATACACATGTAATTAAAGTGAAATTCTTATAAAAACCTCTAACATATATAATTATATAAGATACATGAATTCGTGAAGAAAAATTAGGAGATGCAGATAGGAATACAAAGGAAATAAAGCTTGCCGATAAATCCTATATTTAGAACTATTGTTAACATTTAATTAAAATTGTTTTTTTTCTTTTTTTTTTTTTTTTTTTTTTTTTTTTTTTTTTTTTTGCTTTTCTGAAACAGGATTTCTCTGTATAGTTCTGACTGTCCTGGAACTCATTCTGTAGACCAGGCTGGCCTTGAACTCACAGAGATCCGAATGCCTCTGCCTTCTGAGTGCTGGGATCAAAGGCTGTGTAACCACCGCCCGGCATCTTGTTGCTGTTTCTTAAAACAGGGTTTCATTGTAGCCAAGGCTAGCCTTGAACTGATCTTCCTATCTCCCAAGGAGAGCTAAGATTACAGGCTAGGCCATGGCCAGTTTAATGTTTGATATTTGTTTTGTTGTTTAGTATACCGGGGGCTGAATCCAGGTCCTTTGTGCATGATAAGCCAGTGTTCCCCCACTGAGTTTCATCTCCAAGCCCTTTTGATATTTGAATTAGATCTTTATTCTCATGCCTATTTTTGTATGTATGTTTGTTTAACTTTCTCTTTTATAAAAACAGGAACATTTTGTATGGTAAAGAATTGTGAAAATTGGTGTCTATGAGGTAGAATAATCGCATATACCTAAAATCTAAATCTTTCTATTTGTGGCATCTGGTCTATTGCTTGCGCTAGGAGTATAGAATATGATCCTCATTAGAAAATTACATTATGGGGCTGGAGAGATGGCTCAGGGGTTAAGAGCACTGATTGTTGTTCTTCCAGAGGTTCTGAGTTCAATTCCCAGCAACCACATGGTGGCTCACAACTATATGTAATGTGATCTGGTGCCCTCTCTGGCACGCAATGTATACATGATAAATAAATAAATAAATCTTTTTTTTAAAAAAAGAAAGAAAATTACATTACATTTAAGAAGATTTTTTTTTCTCTTCCCAGTTTTTATTTTGACAGCAGGGAAGCATATTTTGATATAATTTATCCAATGCATAATTTTATGCCTCCCAGAAAAGTAAATGACCTCATTTCAAGTTTGGTATTGCCAATCAATGTTTACTGTGTGACTTTAGTTAAGTTCTCTACCATCTGCATTTCAGAATCTGAAGGTGTTAAATCAAGAGGTACAGTAGCCCTTTATTCTTTTTTAATACAACACTGCACCCCAGCCCAAAGCAGCAGAACCAAACTGGAACCCTCTGAAACCATGAGCCAAAAATAACCCTGTTGCCCTTTTAAATTATCTCAGCTGAGTGGGGCAGTGTGCAAAGCCCTTCATTCTTGTTAACAAACTCCAATAGTCAAGACAGGATGTGCTGTCTGTTTGTGGTTGTGAAAAGACCGACAAGGTTGAGTGAAGAAGAGCATGTGTGCTTCTGGCCAGGAGCCAGACTGACTTTTGGTCTCAAGTTAGTATGTGAGTGAAGTCTACATGGTTTTAGCCTAAATCTAGTTTCAAAAGTTCCAGAGTTATTAGGGACCCTGAAAGATTCTGAAACTTTATTGAATTTTATTTAAATTTGAGACAGAGGGGCTCTACATAGTCCTGGCTGTCTAGGAGCTCATTATGTAGTTCAGGCTGACCTCAAACTCACAGAGATCCACCTGCCTCTGCCTCCCGAGTGCTGGGATTGAAGGTGTGAGCCACCACCGCCCATCTAAACTGAAAAACTTTTGAGTGGTCCAGAGATGGCGCTAAGGAACTTTCACAAGGAATACAGATTCATCTTTAGAAGCCAGAGAGCCTCTGCACCAGGGCTAACTCAGCATGACGGCTTCCCCTCTGCATAACAGTGTCCTAGGAGATCTTGCCTCTGAGTGGAGTGTATTTTTTTAAGTCAGTGTTTTTTTTGAAGGATTTATTTATTTATGTCTGAATGCTCTGCATGTTCTTCTGCTCTACAGGAGGGCATTATAGATGGTTGTGAGCCACCATGTGAGTG